CCTTCTTTCAAAGAACCCAAATGATTTATCAATCAAATATATGAATATATTCCCTATTAAAAAAAGAGGTGATCTTAATAATCTATTTAACTACATAAATTTTTCTTGTAAAGAATACAAAGTTTCCTTCAAACTACCTGACACATACTTTAACTTTCTATAATACAAAAAAATCTCTTCCTACAACCTACCAATTTCTCGACCTCAAATTCAAGCATTTATTTCTCTTCAATCCAAGAGATAGCAACTTTACTTTACAAGAAATCACAATCTTACTGAAAAAAACTTACTATTTCAAATTCCTACCCAATAATATTTTTTTTATCAGAATAAAACTTTCCTCTTTTCCTGCTGAAACCATACTGAAAACCAATATTCTTTTTCCAGTAATGAACCTCAAAAATATTTCTCTTCTCCTTAGCACACTAGCAAAAAATACATCTTTATTGATCCACTCTCCAAAGAATGAATCAACCTTCCTCCATGTCAAACTCCAACTCAAATCCAAATCAACAATATAAATGATAATGAACAACTTACTCCAACAAAATCTATACTTTCAACTGACTATCATAAAGTAAACAAAAAAGCAGAAACTAATTTTCTAATTACCAAAAAGTTGAAATCAGTTCCAACATCATCAAAGCTTACCAATTTAACAATTATCAAGAATTCCTAACAGTTGGATTCAAATTTCTACCAAGCCTCTTCTTTCTAATCTCACTGAATTAAAAAAATTTCTCAAAGAAAAACATATACAATTTAAATTTTTAATTATAAATAGTGTCAATTTCATCTCCAAAATATTTAAACTTAGAGAATACTTCAGTTTTCCGAGATTATCAAGTGAATACATTACACAAATAGAACTTCTTGAACCCTTAATCAAATTTTTTGAATTCTTTTAATGGCTAACACAAACTTATGTACAAACCAATATTAAAATATTGTTAAATATTTGCTTACAAATCAATCTACTTCTTTTTTACTCTTACCAATAAACTCTTTACACTCTTCTAATCCTGTAATCCATATCTCTTCTTCTTTCTATTAGCTTAACAACTTTTCTATCAAAAAAATTTTTATCCTATTATTAAGTTCAATCACCTCTCTACAATTCCATCAATCTTTTAATATTGGATTACTGAATATAAAAGAAATCAATGATGAAATTAAACTCAAATGTTTATTAAAACATGTTTCACAAAAAAACTTTAACATTTTCAAATTTTCAGAAACCAAATTATAACAAACACATAATTTCCCCCAAAAAATTAATGAATACTACATTTATTAGAATAATAACAAGGATAAAAATCAAGCAGAAACTTATATCATAATTCATAATGATTTATTTAAACACCTTTATAAAATTATTTTCTTTGAGGAATACATTATCTTTATCTATTTTCAATTCAAACCAAAAATCAAATTATGCATTTCCCAAATCTATCTTCTCTATTCATGCTTTACATGCAACAAAGTGATTAAATATGTTACAAAATCAATCAAGGAAAACCAAAAAAATAATATTTCATATGGAATTATAAGAGATTTTAACTCCACCCCTAAAAAAATTAATTAAAAAGATCCAGTAAACTTTTATTTCTCAAAAATCTATAATTAACTAAACAACTACTCTAACACCTTTTAAATTCTTCATCCCAATTCTAAAACATATATGCATACAAGTCCCACTAACAAAACTAGAATTGTTCAAATATGAATTACTAACAATCTTCTATATCTTTTTTAAAACTCAAATATTTACCCAACTGAAGCAGATTTTCAAAGCAACCACAAAATAACCAAATTAATATCATACTACATTATAACAAACTATTAAACAATAGAAAAAAACATAAAATATATCTTATCAACACTTTAACTAACAACTAATGTGAATTATTTGAATCAAATCTTCAAAACAAACCATCAAATTTCAATTTAAAAAACATATGAACTTATTTTTATAAAAAATTTAAAAATTCATTCTTGAAAAACTACTGATAAAAAAAATTCTAACCCAATTTCTAAAAAATATTTTTTTTGAAAAAGGTTCTTTATTGCATAACCTTCTCCAAGAAATCAAATACCAAATAACCCACCTCAAAAAAAATACTTCTATTAACTCACCAATTGACAACTTAATAATTAACAAATTAAAAACACACTCTTTATCCCACTCCAAAAATCTTCAATTAATTTAATCTCTCTCAAAACTTTTTAAACTAATATATAAAGCCCTTAAGCTTGAAAACCATCTCTAAACCAAAGAAGAAATCATCAAACTTATTAATAAATGTATTAACAATTTATAAAACTATTTCAAATCCATAATACAAAATATTCTAAATCACAAAATTCTCCTACTAATTTTAACAAACTTATCATTTCTGAAAAGAATAAAGTCATTTCTGATTCTACTGAAATATATACAACTATAGAGAAATATTACAAAAATATTTTCATAAAAGACAAATACATCTTTTACTAATGAAAAAATAAAAAGGAAACTACTATCCAATTCCTTTTATACTGTCTAACTGGTATTCCAATTTGTTAAGTCCAATAACTGAATAAGAAATCACTAAAACAATTGACAAATTATCAATAAGCAAAGTATTAGGCCTCTCAAATAAAATATATTTCATGATCAAAAAAACCAAAAAAGCAATAATTCTTACTATTTGTGACCTTTTTAAAGAAATTTTACAAAATAAAACAATTACAGAGGAATGGAAAACATATAATATTTTTCCAATCAGTAAAAAATCCCAATGGAACTAATATAAAAGAAATCAGACCAATTGCACTTGTAGACTTTTTTAGAAAAATTTTTACCAAAATTCTGACTACTAGACTCAGCTTAATTCTATTATTACATTAAATTTTTTTAAAATCCAACTATACAGAACTTCCCAATCAAAGTATTTTTGAATCTATCCAAATTCTAAACTTAATTTATAATTAATACAAAATAGAAAAAAAAAACTTTGGATTCTATCTCTAGACATTAGTGCTGCATTCAACTCTGTAAATCTACAAATGTTGAAAAAATCTATACAACAAATCAAATTTAAAAATTTATCAATATATCAAAAAATATTCTATTCAACCAGAAATGTCAAGTAATTACAAACCTTGGCAATACAAATCCAATCCACATACTTGATGGTATTGATTAAAGAGAAACTATTTTTTCTCTTTGGTAGATTATTTTTTACAACCCTCTTATTACTTTATTATTCAAACAAAACAAACACAACAACCTCTTTCAAAATACAATAGCATACATGAATGACCTTAACATATTTGCTTTATGAAAACAAATATTTTTTAAATACCTTAATATAATTAATAAATATAAATTTTTATAGTCTTGTTTGTAAAAATACAACTTTAAAATCAGTAAATTCAAAAACTCTTAAACAATATGGTTTTTTTATAAATTATAAAAAATATAACAATAAATTTATTAAAAATCTTATAAAAACAAAAAAATGTTTATTTTTTAAATTTATTATCTATTTCAACATGTATTTTTCTTTTAGATTTTTTTAAAAATCTTTAGCAAAAACAAAATTAATTTAAAATCAAAGGCAGCGATAAACAAACTAAAGTTTATATTCTTTCAATTGAAAAAAACTTTATAAAAAAAATTCTTTCATCATTATATCATACCAATCAAAATTCAAGTAAAGAAAAAAGTTTTAATATATAAACATTCTTATTATATTATATGTTTTATCAATTTATTGGATTATAATTTCAATTGTTATTTCAATTATTATAAATTATCAATTGATGAATTGATAAATTCTTTTAATTCTTGATTAACTTCTGAAGAAAATAATTATAAAAATAATAATAACATTGAATATAATATTATTGATATTGAAGAAATAAATAATGATAAAATATTTTATAATATTACTTCAAATGAAAATAATCTTGATATGAAATTAAAAATAGCTATTGATGATTTTATTTTATCATATAAAAAATTTTCCTTATCTAGTTTTAAAAGACTTTCTATTGAATCTTCAGAAAACATAAATCAAAATAATAATGAAAAATCCAATTCTTCTAATGAAAGAAAAAGAAAATCATATCTTACCAATTCAATTAATAAAGAACAATTTATTAATAATTTATTGATAATTTATTTTTTATAATTATTATTTATATAGTATTTTTACTAATTTGTTGATTTAAAAATTTTTTTAAAAATTTTATTTAAAAAAAAAAATAGTTGGGTGCTTTTTATTTTTATTAATAAAACATTCAATTTTTAATAAAAATAATAAAAATTTTAAATTCTATTTATAAATACTTGCTATTTAACTATATAGAATTTTAAGTTACGTTATATTGAAACAATGTTAGCTCCATACAACTTTAAGAGGGACCGGTAATTTTTACAAATTTCGCGTAATTTCGTGAATTTTTCACTACGTGACGATCTGTAATATACTGTAGTCATACAACCAATTAACTTACGTTTTTTACATTTATGCAGGAGTTCTCGTGATCCGGAAATTTCACTCGAAAACAATGCAAATGCGGCTGCATGTACACTGTGCAAATATGTACGGAGAACACCCCCATGTCTATTATTTTGGGAAAAAAATCTCTGCACAGTAATGTACTATTCCCATTCGTTCATTTTATTACGTTCATTCATAATAAATACAATTTATTATTTATTCAATATTTCTAACAAGAATCGCGTAATATGTGGCGCTAAGCAGGTTCAATAATTTGGAGGATAGATCAAATTTTTCGAAAGGCATAATTAGAGAAAAAGACACAAATTCGTTTCTATCTTTAGGTCATTAACATGATGAATAATTATCGATTCTTTTTACAAATTTATTTTTTAAAAAATAAAATTCCGTTATTAATTATATTTGCTAAATTAGAATGTGATATGGTAATAAATAGCTAACGAACAATATATTTAATAATGACATTATATTAATAATTAAGCAATAACACTATTTAGGGGGATCAGGCCAAAGATCGGTATATGCACAGGCTAAAGTTTCATCGGGTGGATTTCCAATTACGGCATAGATGTCATAAGCATCAGGAACTGTAGGGACCGTAAGTGTAATATTTACACTAAATTGTGATCCAGCTTTAATTGGACATTGGGGAAGACTTCCTGACCCGCAGACGGGTGTCGAAAAGGTATGTACATTTTTGGGATCGTCATCGTCAATGAATATCATGTAAAGTTGGTCGTCTGAATTTATGTCTGATGGAATAGGTCCAGAAGCTGTAAAAGTATCTTCTTGACCTTCGACGGGATCATTTTCCGCTACTACATTAAGTTTTGGAAAGGTACCAGCAGACGTGTAGCATGTACTCCATTCAAGACTAGAGCTTCTTTTATCAAGTTTATACGGCAAAGAATTGACCGCAGAAAGCGTAGCAAATAAAATGAACACGAATATAAGATTTTTATTCATGGTTTTCTCATTTTCTGCTTTGATTAAAATTCACGATCTTATAAAATAAATTCTATGATCAGCTGGATTTCATTTAAAATTTATTTTTTTCGCTGATCATCTCTCTTCCATATAAAATTTCAAGCATAATTTTATATGAAGTTCTCATAATGTGATTATAAAAGAATTATTTATGAACTGAAATTCAACAAGTTTCTGTAATTAGAAAAAAGAAAAGTCAGAGCCTTTTTGATTTGTACAAACAATAACAGTGTAAAATACAAATGAAATTGCGAATCAGAAATTATAAAGCAGTTAAAGTTAGGCATTAGTTAATAAATGATTTTCCTGATTTTTTAAGACCTTATTATGAAAGAGAAAAGAAGGGCTCGATAAATTCCCGATTTATTTAGGAAAATTGGGCAAATATGATACAGTGGATTAAATATTCTTTTCCCCTCGCATCGCATACAAAAAAGCAAACATAGAATTTGGCACTTTGTATAATCAAGAATAACGACCAATTTTTTCAGAGCAATATAGTAGCCTTATCTAAAATGGACACTTCTAAAACATGCTAATTCCACAAGCAGAAAAATGTCTAATTGATCTTCAAATGGAGTATTTCTATCGGTCTTTTTGCCAGCGTCTGGTGTGTAATACAAGTCAAATAACAATTCGTCCAAAAGATCCAAACTCGTATCAATCACCTCCAAATTTAATTCTGATCCTATTTCACGTGATGAATTAGAATGAGTCTTTCTGTGAGATCCCGGAAAGACCTTTATAAATATTTAGAATTTGGATTACACAAAGATGATATTAATAATTTAGAAACAGAACACCACAGTTACAGTACAAAATGTGACTAAATATTATGGTAGAAATAAAAAAAATTTAAGGAATATTTGACATTACTTTTTGCCCTGCTCCTGGCTGTGTCGTACTGGTCCGTCACCCACTACCCTGTCAAGCGCTATTTGGAAGTATGTAAGAGCGCGGTTCTGTTGGTGACAGACAGTTAGCATTTCAACAATCTGATTATATTACATATTACTGTAATTAGGGTAAAAAGGTGACGCGATGCAATTCACGTGACTAATGTGAGGGTGAAGTTCTACTAGCGAGGCGTTCGATCTGACCGAGGTAAGTAATTCTCTTTATTAAATTACTTTAGTCACCACTATCCACGTCTTCCAGTTCTCTAAAATAAATACCAACATTTTATACTTTTTTACAAAGAAACTAGAAGAACAATTTATAAATATAACGAAGGTAAGGGAAAATCTACTCCCTTCTAGCACTAATTACATCATTATTATTTCTTTTCTAGCGCCGGTTTCAGATCTATTTTTACTTTTATTTTCTTCTCGTGATCCCGGGTCGATCGTCGGTCACGTGATCCAAATCGCGTTACCATCGTTTTATTCTCCCTCTCACACTAAACCCCGCGATAGTGCCGCGAAGGACCTGTTACTAACGTGGTACTAGAAGTAGTGGGATAAAAGGTATGTAAGCGAAAGGTGATGGGAAGTGGATAAAACAGTAGTTGAGAAACGGGTTAGAAAGTTAGATAATGAGGGGAGGATCGTGAAAAACGTTTAAGTAATGCTATATACTGTATAAATCATTTTGATCGAGCATTATGTAATAAGAGAAAACCATGAGAAGACATTAGATAACCGATGTTGCTATATTTTTAGAATGTAGTCGTCCCAACTAAAATGTATAAAAAGATGTAAATAAAAGTGAATAAAGGATAGTGAATTATCTTTTTACTTAGCCAAATCGTACACGCCTAAAAACTCATTAAATTCCTTACTCCATCAACAGTTACGTGACACTGCCCCATTTTAGCGACAGACTCGCCGGTCGAGATAAAACTCTAAGTAAATATCTTCTGGGATTTATTCGTTATATGAGAAAAAGGCATATTTACAGTAAGTTTTTCTTTATGATATTTTCGAAAACTTTACTGTAATGACTTTTTGTTTTATAACATCTAACAATACTCGGATGAGAAGAGCAGATTGAACAATCTGCAAGATCAAATCAGTAACTTTCATGTTAACTTGACATATAATTGTTCTGTTCTCAATGTTTATACTGTATACTGAAACATTCATTTATAGACGTAACATGCTGTATATTGGATGCAACAAAAGAAACACTCAAAATCTCATATTACAAAGGACGGTCATTAAACAAGACTTTTTAGGTAGGACATATGTATTACATATTGGAACTTGTAACTGAACAAAACACACATACGAAGAAGAATTATCTTTATACAGCTTAAATTTTGTTAGAAAAACGTCCTTTAACCATTAGACTACCTTTTAAAGTGCATAGTCAGAACAATTAATACGGAGACACCTCATCAAACGAAGTAGTGATGCGATATTGATTCATTACCCTACAATGAAGAGTATTATTCTTCGGGTACTGACTCTGAGATTGTATCTGTTCTTCCTGTTATAGGCTTTCCGGCGAGTCAAAAGCCAATCTTTCACACACAATTTTTCTTGCTATACATAGCGTCAGAAACAATAAGGTAATTTTCTCCTTTAACTCTTGAGGCGTCTAGTCTTCACTTTAACTTCTCTACCGACTAACCTAGAACCTTTTTCATGTCAATTCCCTTAGGAATAACCTCGGTTCTCTCTTGTAGTCGCGTAGTCCACATTACAAGTCTTATTTGGCACATTGAACACAAGATAAGAGTTTACTTTAAACTTCACATTATTGTTTAATACTAATATTTTCTAACGTCTCTGTTCTCTGTTTAAATGCTACTGAATTGTGCATGTATTTATACATGCGCCTATTGTTTACATGTTTACATCTGTCTAATATCCTACACTATTCTAGAAATTCACACCTTCAGCTTTTCCTACCTAATTTCTCCACCTTAATTTCCCCACAGTTTGTGACAATAGGGTAATGTAACGTGACATCGCGTTGCACGCCTTTGTTGAATTTACCTATAACACTCAAAATTATTTTTCTTGAAACTTTCGTCGAGCTTGAGAGGAATCTAAACCAGACAGAAATTTGATGAATCTTTATAAATGAAGAAAGTGGAGTTTAATAGTCAGATAAACAGAAGATCATACATCACTCGTTACATAGAAGAGGATGTTCTCAAGAAATATCAAACATGAGTTTTGACAGTCAAGGGTTGGATTCTGCTTGCTTAAACATTAATAACGGCAAGACTACAAAAACTTCTCTACGTATTGGTTGTAATCCCGATTGCATCAAGTTTTACCGAAGACTTATTGACAACCAAGTTAAGACTCTGAAATCAAGATTATCCTTTTTAATATTGAACTAAGCATCAATAATTTTTATGATGGATTGTGATAAAGAAGTGTTTGTTGCAATGCTCAGAAAATTTTAATGGCAGGAGATTTGGAGACTTTGCAAGATCTGTCGGTTAATGTCTGTTGCATCGAACAATCTTTTTTCTGTATGGACTCGCTTCGATCATTCCTTCTTACTATATTTTACAGTATTATTGTCCATATATGAAAGGGTGTCTAATGCGTAAGTTTGAACTCTGTCACATAGGAATGCCTTTTTTGAGAAGGATTATATGATATTAAGTTGTGAGGGTTAGCTCATAAGTCATACGAAAACTCAAAGAACCTTAAAATTTACTGGTCCTAGTGTCTCAAAGTGATTCTTACAACTTTATTCTTTGCGCTACCCTCTTGTACCAAATCTTTCGAAAATCAAAGCTTACAATCTTCAATCGAGTGAATTTTTATCTCAAAATTCTTTATCGAATTATTTGTTACAATGGATCTAAAGAGGATTTTAAAAATAAATAAGTTTATATACTGTATATAAAAAATTTTTATTTAAATTATTTTATAAATTATTTTTATATTTAATCCACTATCATTAAAATTCAATAGATGACTATAAAACATAAATGTATCTAATTATTTTGAACTGATAAATTCTCAAAAAATAATATTTTTTTAATCATTTTTTTTGTACTTGATTTTTTTTTAAAAAAAAAAAATTTCGACATGAGACTATTATTTATCAAATTACCATATAATAAAAAATAAATGTCTTGACATGGATTAAACATCTACTTGGTGGCAATATATTAATTTTATACTGCATGTTCAATAGGTTACAATTAATTTACAATAATTTATGTAAAAGATTATTAATTTAAATGACTATAAACTAAGGTTTAATAAAATGTCTTGCATTAATGTTTGTTTATAATTAAAAAATATATATATTTTGACATTGACTTTTAAATATTTGAACATAATAATAATAATATAATAATATTTCAAATTTCTATAATTTTTGGTTGCTTAATTTATATATTAAATTACAATAATGATCTATTATTATTGATTTTTAAATATATTTCTTAAAATTATAACCTAATGATATTTTAATTATATTTAAAAAAGTTTTTTGTATATTTTTTTTTATATTATTAAAAATAACTATATAAACTTTTATCTATTTAATAATTGTTTATTGGATTTTTTTTAATTGTAAAAGAGTATTAGATATAAAACTTTATTAAGTATATATATTGATACATAAATTATATCAAATATCTTTACATGAAAAATATGTAAATTAATATTAACCTATCTATGATGCTAACTATTGCCATTCTTATTATATTTGATGTAACTTGAATTGGCTTTAGTACTGAATAGTTAATACATTTCCAAAGCTAAAATGAGACCTTGGAATTTGAGTAGAATGTTTGACTTAATAAGTTATTTATCTATTAAGATTATGATTTGATAAAATAAGTTTTGGTCTTTTATAATGTCATGGATAAAAAAGTAGGTACAGTAATGTAATATACTGCCACATCACATAATTAGTGTATTCTAAGATCAATGGTGAAAAAAGTTAGAGGTGAATAATCCAAGGTGTGAAAAAATTTAGTAATGAAAATTTCTAAAGTAGTATATAATAGTAATTAGATGTAAACATTGTTACACTTGATTTTCGCTCAAGATCTTCACTATCCCTTGTCCAATTTTCACTAGCATTGACCCTTAAAATGTTAGTTCTTCTAGAATAGTTTTGTATTACAGACCTGTTGCTGCACCTTCAGCATCTATTGTATCTATTGCATCTTTACTATTTCTAAAATATTTCTATTTTATTTTATCTTTACTTTCTGTATTATTTTCACCAAAGTGTTTATCTATGTACATGCTACTATAGTTGAATATTCTAATGAAGCTAATATCTATATCTTAGCTTATATTTTTACCATAGCATATATCTATCATGTACAAAAATATTATAACTCAAACATGTATATAAAGGCTCCAATTTTGCCTAGGAATTGACAGGCTTGAACATATATTTTATTAAACAAATAACTTGACCTTTGAAAAACAAATCACCATTGCCTCTTTTACTTGACCTCATATATCTCAGAATTGTACTAATTTGTACACCTCTAGGAACTTTAGTATACTACAGTGACCCTGTCTATCTAAAGTACCTCCCTGCTACTAGTTCTCCATCTTTATCTTTCTCCTAAGGTAGAAACGATATACAGTATGACAAATTGGTGGTGACTGTGAGATACTGCTCATCTATCTTGAGAAAACTGTAAAGAAACAAATCTTAAAGAAGACTATGTGAAAACTTTGTTCAGTATTGGAGATATTTACAGCAAGAGAAAGTCTGTAATTTGGAATTCAAAGTCTAACAAAAAGAATATCAGCAGTAAAAAGATTTATGATAAATTATCGAACATTTGTGAGCATTAACTACTTGCACGACCAATTGCACTTAAACAATCCAGAATTAATTAAGAAAGACCTTCAGCAAAGACAGCCAGACGAATCTTGTACTGTTTGCTTTTTCCCTATTGAAAATTATAATATTCGCTTTAATCACTTTTGGAATTGGTTTTATATTACCTTTTCTGCTATCCAATATTTATTTAGAACCTATCATTACTTTGTCCAACAAATTGTTAGTTTCCTTCCCCACATCAGTACAGTATAACAAT